AGTGGATCCTCTGCAGTGAATGGGTGCCGTCAGAATGAGAGTCCAAACAGCTGATAAAAACATCATGATAATCCACAAGTAATCCACATGACTCCAGTCCATCAATTAACATCTTGTAAAGTGAAATCTGCATGTTTTAACTTTAAACTGTTGCTTCTGGCTATAACATGAGTCCTCTATCCATAACAATGCTTTCTCCAGTGAAAAAATCGTCTCATCTGAATCGGGAGAGAAATATGCACAGCACCGTTTACACGCGAAAAACAGTTCTAAACAAACTTGTTTGTGGATTTTGATGTGAGAGGACAACAGAGGATGGACTTTTTCACTGGAGGAAGCATATATATACACGTATTTTGGCCAGAAACAATGGTTAAAAGTTAAAATGCCTTAATGATGGACAAATTCTTACAAATATGCAGCTTTTCACTTCACAAGACGTCAGTTGATGGACTGCAGTTTTGTGGATTACTTGTGGATTATTGTGATGTTTTTATCAGCTGTTTGGACTCTCATTCTGACGGCACCCACTCACTGCTGATGATCCATTGGTGAGCAAGTGATGTAATGCTAAATTTCTCCAAATCCATTCTGATGAAGAAAAACTCATCTACACCCTGTAAATGGCCTGAGGGTGAGTACATTTTCAGCAAATTTTCTTTTTTGAGTGAACTGTTTCTTTAAATATGAGACAATTGCAGAACAAAGCCCAAGTGTCCACAAAAAGAATCGTATTGATCCCATTCACAAAGATATGTGTACTTGTAAACTTCCACACTTATTATGAGGTACAGAAATGTAGTATAAGCAGTCAGTTCATTCCTCTTAAATCCCAAAGAGCACAGAGTACCGAGACTGACCCTGTCCAATTGACTGGATGTTTTCATCCAAGTAAGATAAGAACCAATCGAGCACAGATCCAGAGATGCCAATCGCAGCCAGTGCGGAGGTCAACAGTCTGCAATTTAATTCATTAAACACAGCAAACAGAAGACTGAATCAAGACTGATATCAAATCTTGATTAGTATGACCCTGCAGTGTGAGCTTCACTAGTAGAAGACTGTATGTCATGATTCATTTGCAGTAAGTGCACCTCATTGCTATTGAGAAATACAAGCTACCATAAAAGCGATACAATACGATACGATACGAAAAAGTGTTCTGCTGCTTACGGTTACAACTAGGATGCGGTTATGTTTTCTTATTGCATCTCATACTGAAACAGTTTATGTTATTTTCATGTTGCAGCACCTTTTTAACATCCATCAGGAAAAACCGCAGTGGTATTAGTGAAGTGAAACTACAAAAGTATTATTGATTTTATTAACTGCATGTTAATAGATGGCCTGCCTGAGAAGAGTCTAAATAAGTCTATTCCTCACAGGTCATAAAAAAAGAGTTCAGAATCAGTTATTTTCAGATTTCTTTTAACTATAAGAAAGCGAAATGTTTATCGATACCCATAAGTTACAAAAACGTAAAAAAAAAATTAAAGTGTGTGTGTTGAGGTTGTGGGAGGAGAGTGTGAAGGTAACAAATAACTGGTGTTTCTGAATCTGCTCTTTTTGTTCCCTTTTCTTTCTTTTTTTTCTAACATTGATGTTATTTAACTGAGTCGTCCGCCGTTCCCTACCAAGGCTGTTAAGAAACGTCTCAACTAGGTAAATGTCAGCATGCATGGTTTATTATTTGGTTCATTATGTGTGTGTGATACAATGTAGAATGAATGAATGTTGATCCTCATCTTTTTAAAAGAGTGTTTGTATTTGGCAGATTTTATGATGCTTTGAGTAGCTGCAACTTATTTATTTGATGTGAAGGTTTCACCACTCTGTGTGTTATTTGACTTAACGTTGAGCACTTTATTTTAATTTTAACTTAAATTTTAATCTTAAATTGAAAGCAATTGAATTGCATTGAGAACATGTGAATGTGTTTTTGGGGGTGAATGTCTATTTATTTAGCAGGTATTTTTAATGGCTCACTATGTTTCACTTGCATCATGGTTTGGACACAGTTTAACTGAATATATGTTTCTCATAATTGTTTCAACCTTTTTATCCATTGCCTCCCACTTATATGTTTGAAATTAATCTTGTAACCTGCTAAATATAAAGATAATATTTGCAACCTGCATCCTTCTGAAGTTGATTTCATGATTATATTCCTATGGATGTCATGTAAAAACAGAGAAATTTTAAAATTTAGTAACTTGTCTATACAAGCAGAGCACCAGAGATGGTATTTGACATATTTATTGTTTAATTATCTGTGAAGCCCATGAAGAGCTGTTTTTCGGTGTAGGACAGTGATGGAAACTGCAATAATGTAGAAGTAATATATGTGTTGCACTCAAAATATCTAGTGGCTTTAATGCGGCATCATTTTGTAGCTGAAAAAGTCACAGTGATCCATCAACCGGCAAAATATTAGTACCCTATATATGCTTCATACTCAAATGTATGTGTAGATAAAACACTTAAGTCAGCTAAAATGATATATAAAATTCATATAACTTCATTTGATCTATTTGATATATCAGCATTCATAAAGGAGGGCTGAATATCTGATTAAGTAATTTTAGAGAGAAACAGAAGTTGTTCTCAGCTTGAGAATTGCTTTTTCCTTTTTTCCACATTTGATTGGATATTTTATTATATAATGCAAAGACATTCAGACATTTTACATGTAAAGTGTCTATATAGTTCTTGGGGCTGTCTTTTTGTCCAAATCTAAGATTGTTTATTAAATCCGAGTTTTATAATTAAAATTCCTTTTTCTCTCTCTTTCAGCCTGCATTTGCAAATGGCTCCCCTGCTGTTGTTCCTCTTTCTTCCCATTGCCTTTTGTTGCGAAACGGCCCCCAGCACTGAGTGCGAAAAGCTTCCCTTCGTACCCGGATATAATTTGGTGGGAGAAGGCTTTGACATTGTGCGAATGAAGACCACCGGAGCTTTTGTGGTGGATGTGCGGACCTACGTGAGCGGAGGAGAGCATGGGAACTGCACTCTGTGTGAGAACAAACTGCTCAACGAGAAGCAGAAGCTGCCAGCTTCTGTGGTCGACTGGCGGATCAAGGTGCAGTGTCGCCGCAGCCTCAGCGCCAAGGTGTATGAATCAGCCAGCTCGGTTCTTAAGGATACCACCAATTCAGCCAGTGCCAGCTGGAAGATCGGGCTGAGTGTGCCGATGGTGGCAGGTGTGGCTGTTGGCGGCACACATTCGCATTCAGCCAGGTTTGCCAAAAGCCACGCAGCTCAAGACAAGTACTCCTTCACGAGCCACACCTTCTCCTGTCGCTACTACTCGTAAGTCCTGGTATATATGTGAGAGTATGTGTTATTTAACTACACTCTTAAATATAAAGGTTATTCATGGTTCCATGAAGAAACTTTAACATCAATAGAAGCTTTCCATTCCAGAAAAGGTTCTTTACACTCTCAAAAATAAAGCATCCAAAAGGGTTTTTTCACAGCAAATCCCATAGGAGACCATTTTGGGTTCCCAAAAGTTCCTTTTAGTTAATAGTTCTTATAAGAAGGATTTTTTTCTTAGTGTGAAGAACATTTTAATATTCTAAAGAAGCTTTGTCCACTGCAAAGAACCTTTTGTGCAATGGACAGGTTCCATAGATGTTAAAGGTTCTTCATGGGCCCATCAATGCCAATAAAGAACCTTTATTTTTAAGTGTGAGAAGTGGAAAATGGTTCTGTAGTTATTGGTTTAAAAATGTAACTGACTACTCTATGATTGGTTGTCTGTTGCCAAACAACGTAAAATTCTAGAATCGCATGCTAAACAGTGCTCAGCTCATTAAATATGCATGAGCTCGGTACAGTCATAAAGACTTTCACGTGTGACGTTTAGTGTCGACGCTGGTGGAAATTGTTCGAAATGTTGCAACTGTATTAACTGGAGTGATGAACAGACAAAAAGTATTATTCTGCAGTATTTCAGCTGATTTATTGACCTCATAAATATGCAAATCAGAACATTAGGGTTTAAAAACGTACACTGTGAAATTTAAAAACTTGACTACCCAGGATTATAAATTGTAAAATCAAATATAATCTCTGTGGAAGCCTGTTTTTTTTTTTCTGTCATTGTAAAAACATAAAAATGGGTAATTGTGGGAAAGTTTCTAATAAGAAATAGTTACATTGTGAGATAAAAAGCTGCAAGTGTCAGATATATAAAGTCGCAATTATGAGATATGGGGGGGGGGGACTTTCAGTATACACAAAAACTCCATCAAACAGTTTTGAAAGTTGTGACTTGTAAAAATTATGTGATCTACACTGAAAAAAAAAAGGTACAAAAGCTCACTGGGGTGGTACCTTTTCAAAATGTACACTTTTGTACCTTTTAGGTCCTGATATGGACCATTTAGATACAAAGGGGAATCTTTTGAAAAGCTACCGTCCCAGTGACAGCTTTTGTACCTTTGTGTAGAGCTTCATACAGTGCGTGCAATTGTAAATACTACAATCTATCCCTCACAGCCTTGTTTTAATCTGCCAAAAAAGCAGTGTGTCATCTAATCTGACTATAAATGTCTATAAAGTCACAATTATCTGTTTTTAAACTTTTTTTTTTTTACTCTACGACAGAAGCAGGCTTCTATATTGAACAAAGTGAAATGTGTTACAGGATTACATTAGTCTGGGGTTTGGACTGACAATGAAGCATGAAACCCCTATAAAGTCTTTCTTCTCTTCTTTCATCAGATTTCGTCTTCATGCTCGCCCTCCACTGACCAAAGAATTTTTGGGTTCCATCACTTCACTTCCTGTTAAATACGACAGCAAGTCAGAAGGTGCGTATAACCATTTCATCTCAATCTACGGGACACACTTTTTGCGGAGAGTCGACCTGGGCGGCCGCGTGCATTCAACCACTGCTGTGAAGACCTGCCAGGTTTCCATGAAGGGTCTGTCGGTACATGACGTGAGCAACTGCTTATCGGCGGAGGCGTCCGGCGTCATCAAGGGAGTGAAGGTGAGTGGGCAAGCAGGCTACTGCAAAGGCAAACAACAGAAACTGGAGAGGGGCAACAGCTTCAGCGCCTCCTTCTCCGACCGAGTCACTGAAATACTAGGGGGCAACGGTGAGCAGCAAGACATCCTCTTCAGTCCAAGCAACGTTAGTGGTTATGGTGTGTGGCTCAAGTCACTGAAGAAAATCCCTGGAGTGGTTTCCTACACCTTGAGCTCATTGCACATGCTGGTAAACAACGACCCAGCTAGACGAGCCAGTCTACAAGCGGCCATCAGCAAGTACATCACAAAAAGCGCCATGTCTACTGCTTGCCCCTCCAGTTGCAAAGTGGGCCATCGTAGCAATAGCTGCGCATGCAAATGCAGCGGTCATCGAAGCGTTGATAGTAACTGCTGCCCAAGTAATCCAGGAGTGGCCACGTTGACCGTGACTGTGTTGAGCGGTGCAGGATTATGGGGAGACTATTTCTCTAAAACCGATGGTTATGTTAAAGTGTTCTACGGAAGCCGTGCGGTTGAGACCCCTGTGATTTGGAACAACAATTTTCCTCAGTGGAACTACAACATAAATTTGGAAACTGTAGATCTGACTAAAAGAACGTAAGTGGTTATGTTCACAAAACATTAAATGCTTCTGAAATGGGTGATAGTGTTTGTAGAAATACTGTTGTACTTCATATTGTGTCTATGCTCATTTTACAGGCCCTTGCGATTTGAGGTGTGGGACCGTGACAACCGGTTTGATGATGATCTGTTGGGAAAGTCGTCTCTTGTTCCACAGAAAGGGACCAATCAGAAGCGGTCATTTAAATTAAAGCATGGCTCTTTTTTGATCGCCTATTCTGCAAAGTGTGGCCCAAGTCTTACGGGGTCTTTCTGTGAGAAATACGCTCCTACGCCGGGTGGTGACGGTACTCTAAACTATTACCAGCCCTTTGGTGGAGAACAGCCCATTTTGTTGAAAAAATCCAAGGGTTTTAGGAATGTGTCTTTGCTGTAATAATACAACTGCAGAATGTGAAGATCATGTAAAATACTGGGGAAGGGCCTTCTAATATAAGCTATTTGAGATTTTTGCAAAGATACACATTGAAAACAGTTATTATAAATCAAATATCATTGACTTATTTCTAGACAAATTTACAAGTCTTATTTCAGTAGAACCCTAAAATTTTATCTGATTTTTAAAGATTTTTGAAATAATTTTCTCTGATTCTTAAAAAGATATTCTTCATATGTGACCCTGGGGTATATTTGTAGCAATAGCCAAAAATACATTGTATGGGTCAAAATTATAGATTTTTCTTTCATGCCAAAAATCATTAGAACATTAAGTAAAGATCATGTTCCATGAAGATATTTTGTAAATTTCCTACTGTAAATATATCAAAACTTCATTTTTGATTAGTAATATGCATTGCTAAGAACTTCATTTGGACAACTTTAAAGGCGATTTTCTCAATATTTTGATTTTTTTTTTTGCTCACTTCAGTCAAACTTTAGTTTGGCGGCTGCTTATTTCACTCATTATTATTATTAGATTTGTGGGCAATAATAACTATTTAACTGTAATGTCACAAAAATAGCAGGGAAAAGATCAAACAAAGGTTCTGAGGAATCATGAAAGTAGATTAAGTACGATCATTCATTGATGGTTTTAATTAAAATTAGCCACTTTCAATGCATGCCGGTAAAAACAAACAGAATGAAGAAAGCTGTACCTGTCACCTTTCTAAATGAGGATGAAGATGGACAAACATTGGGGGTTAAGTGTAAGTAAACAAAACGTAACAATTCTATAGGTTTAATACATTACATAGGTCAACATACTTTGATATAGATTTGATATAGATTAAATAGATAAATATTTCTGGCAAGCCAAAAATATCCTGTGATTGCAGCTTTTCTGAGCCAAACAGCGCCCCCTGTAGAAAAGCCCATGCTTTACACAGGCAGTCTCTCCTAAAGGTCTTCCACTGTGTTCAGTTCAATAATTTAGGCCCAAACCTCCCAAAAGCTGGTTTGTGAATTACTATCGCTAAAGATCTTATAAAAATGAGTCTGAAATGATAACTACAGTGCACATGCATACTGGTGTTCAGTGGGATTTGAAAGCTTTGTGGCCATTAATGCTATTGTTGAACCACCAACTGAATGAGCACAGATGACTGATGAACATATTTAATGCAATGGCATTTAAGGGGAAGTCGTGGCCTAATGGCCCAAAGGTTGCGGGTTCGAGTCTCGTACCGGCAGGGATTGTAGGTGGGGGGAGTGAATGTACAGTGCTCTCTCCCACCTTCAATACCATGACTGAGGTGCCCTTGAGCAAGGCACCGAACCCCCAACTGCTCCCCGGGCGCCGCAGCATAAATGGCTGCCCACTGCTCCGGGTGTGTGGGTGTGTGTGTGTGTGTGTGTGGGTGTGTTCACTGCTGTGTGTGTGCACTTAGGATGGGTTAAACGCAGAGCACTAATTCCTAGTATGGGTAACCATACTTGGCCACATGTCATGTCACTTTAACGAATATTTAGTGTATGCTGCATTAATCTCTTTTTACAGAAACATTTGAAAATATACAGGGAAAAAAACATGTAAAATGTAATTTAACAGACAAAATATCTGCCCTTTAGTTTGGGATGTCTTTGTCTGATTTGAGCCATTTGAAACTGGGATTAGCAAAAAAAGTGTTATATTCTTGACTACATCTTTTTTTTTAACTAGTTGCTGTTGTTTACATTTCTGAGCTCTGCGGAGTCAGGACAGTGAACTGGGGCACAAAGATGCATTGAAGATCCCTCCCACTCAGATTATTTGCTCCAGAAGCTTCCCTCTGGTAGATGTTTTAAGCAGTTCAAACCGAGACCAACAGACAACCGCACTGCCAATGCTATATTCCTGCTCAACCGGGCCCTCAGCAGTTAAACTAGTGTAGCTTTGAACATCCATACACATATATTTTCATCCTTTAAAGTTTATTTACTTTTATAATGCATGTTCCTTGTCCTGATCTTGTGGTCTTCGTAATCTTTCATCAAAATGTAATCCATTGTTTTTCCTGTGAAACTATTTTCCTTTTTCACAGACGCCACTGGAAAATGTTCATCAGTCTTGAACAGTTTCTTTTTAATGAAACATTTTTAAAATATTTATATTGATACTGATGCTGCATAAACAGAAGCAATATTCACATAAGAAATCAAGTTAAAAATTATAAATATCAATTTTGTATATTTTTTCTTTTGCTTATTTTAAAGTGTAAAAATGCTGAAAGGCACAAGTCCCAGACAAAAGTTGATAAAACTTTGATAATGTTAGGCTATGTAATTGTTGTTACAGCTCAGGCCATATTAAATGTTAAAGATAATGTTGTTCAAACATAATATTAAATGGCTATAATTAACCCTTTTAAACTTCAGAAATCACACAAAAAAAAATAACAAAAATAAAAATCCACTTAATAAATGCATTGGTATTATTTGCCTTGGTATCAAATAGGAATTATGTGGTATTGCTCATCCCTAATTCCTAATAGCTAAATTTAAGTCCCAATTTTCATGTTTTGTCATTGAACATTCAGTTTCATTTAGAAGTAGGCCTACATCACTATAGTAAAACCTGAATACTCAGTTTATGTTATATTCTCTATACCAGTGTTTCCCAACCTTTCTGTAGTTGCGGCACACTTTGGAAATTTTAACAAATTTGTGGCACCCTACAAAATTAATTTTGTCACAATATTTGAATTTCTAACTTCGATATGATACTTTGAAAAGTATAGATATTTGGTACAGCAGGGAAGAACTGCAGAATATACTGTCATACAGATATTTTTAATATCATAAAAAAATTTTTTTTTTACCAATTATCCAAATAATGTTTAATCCTAGAAAGCTATTATTATCAGAGGACACGTGAGTATAACGGTTAGCAGATAATTGAATGAGAGGGCAGCGTTACCAGAGTTGCCCATTTACCACACCTTGTTACAGCACAGTAGGGCTATTGCAAACAGAAACAATACTGTACTACATCTATGTTTACTGTTCGGGACTTTGCTGTTCCAATGAGCATGAACGGTATATGAGTGGAGCACTCACATGGGCCGTGAGCGACTGAGCGGATAATACGCAGAGCATCACACCACGTGAAAGTGAAACCTGAGCGGTGAACAAATTTTCTGCAGCCGGAATTTCAGTGCATCTCTAATTAGTGAAGTGACATGTGGCCAAGTATGGTGACCCATACTAGGAATTAGTGCTCTGCATTTATCCCATCCAAAGTGCACACACACAGCAGTGAACACACACACACCGTGAATACACACCCGGAGCAGTGGGCAGCCATTTTTTGCTGCGGCGCCCGGGGAGCAGTTGGGGGTTCGGCGACATCAGAAATGCTTTTTTGAACATTTTAGCAAATTTTACTGCTCTATACTGTATAGATTAATGTGTTGAGTGTAGGCTATTAGTGTACATGTCTCTTTGTACTCATCATAACTGTGACATTTGAGATTTGAGGTCAATTCAGGTATGCCTACCTCTAATGACGAATAAATGAAAACAATAAAAACGATTTTAAAGGTTGGTATGTCTTGAGACCATATGTTTTTCAGTGCGACCTATCCCTTATTTCCGTTGGAATTTTTCTTCGGGCCTAAAAGAGGCTCCTGCTCTGTTATTCCGCCTAAAACAAACTACAGTTCCCTAGTTATCATGGGGAACGTGGGGCTTACACGCTGCGGTTACGCCAGTACAGCAAGCGAGCGGAATGGGGGAGGGGCGGCAGGTAAAGTGAGACTGTGGCGCATGCGCAAAAGCGCTCCAGCCCGCTGCGTCGCTCCCCTCCCCCCCCCCCCCTTTTTTTTTTTGCAGCATCAGTACCGCGTTCGGAATCGCATTCGTGTGCTGGAGTCAGAGCGCGCTGCGGGGCATCACTGCACCGCCACGGAGGACACACCATCACAGAACCAGGAACGGGGAAAAGGGAAAAAGGCGTGAAATCGTGCATAGGGGGAAGCACAGGGCGCTCTTTTTTTCCCCGAAACCACCTAAATCTGTGGGAAATTAAACAGGAGTCAGACATTCGTTAATAATAAATCCACGAACGCAGCGGACATCTCAAGAGATATTTTTGGCCAGCACGGCGGGGGAAAATGAAGGATCGCACGCAGGAACTACGAAGTGTAAGTCTGGATTTCTGATGCTTTATCCTTCATCTCCTCCCATATTCTCCGTCTCCTCACCGCAGCCGGGCGTCAGCAGCTGACATTCACTGCTGCTCGCTCACGGTTGTGCATTTATGGGCATAATACAGTTTTCATAAAATTTCCGATATTTTTTCCTCCTTCTCCTTTACGCAGTTACAAATGTCTAACATATCGCGCATAGCCTATATAACGTTTTGAATAGCGGCTCTCACGCGAGCGCCGTTCCATGTGCGATGGATCGATTTATCGATCAAATCGGGTTATATGGCGTAATTCGCGAAATGAGCCCCCCTACATTAGCATGCACGCAAACAGACTACCTTTGATACATGTCGCCCGGGAGTGTGATCTAGGGGTATAGACTGCTGCGGATAGCTAGCCAGTATCCTTACTCTGATACGCACCATCCCAGCATCTAATTCTATGATCACCGCATCATTAATTATTAATAGCGATTTTTTTTTTGTTAAACGAAAATAACATTCACCCATACTTCGCCTTGTTCCGTGTTAACTCTATTAGATTTTGCCGTCTGTACCTGGGAATTTTGAACATCTCCACAAAAGCTCCATTCCGGATACATGCACATCTTCATCGGACGCATTTGGATCGTTGGGTGGGATGTGCGATTATTGCAGCACGATTTGTTCCGTTCTTAGCCGCTATATTAAATATGAAAGGGTGTAGTAATATTCTTGCATGTATATGAGCTAAACGAATACAGCATGGTCGCCAAAGTATTTCTATTTGTAGTCGCGACGGTATAGCGACTTAATCGCTTTTTTTTTCCAATGATATGGGAAGTGGGCCTTGAGGCTTTAATGCGTCGTCCAACCTCCACGAATGTTCTGTTGAAATATCGTAAAGGAAACGCCTGAACCCAGTGCACTGCACTCATCAGCGTATGCGCTTGCTAGGGAGCGCAAAGTGTGT